AATTAACGGGTATAAAAGGCTTAGCAGAAATCAGGCAGAAATCAGGCCCGAGGTAGTACCGCCAGGGTTTTAAGGTAGTGCTAACAGGGTTACCCTTCTTTTATTACTGCTAGCGAGGAATTACTTGTAGATATCGCCCTTTAAGTCGTTAGAAAGGAAGAGGCCGTCGGTTCCTAGGCCTCTAAGGAAAGGGGCCTACTAAAAGGGAAAGCCCGAAACCGGGGCGTTTAGGGCCCGGAAGGATATTTTAGTGGTCGGTAGGATTAGGTTAGAGATATTAGGAGCTTCCTTTTCGCTACTAGAGGCTGCGAAAGAAGACTCCTTATCGTTATCGCTTTAGTAGACAAAAAGCGCGCCGTCAGAGCCTTCTATAGAGGAACTCCTCGGCGGATTATCGACCGCGCTATAAGAGCGAAGGCGCACTATTATTCGCGTTAATCCGGTTCCTTTTACTTTATTACCGATCTAGAAGCTAGCTTACCTATACTAAAAGTAATTAAGAGCGATTAAAAGTGATTAGAAGTAGGAAAATTTGCGTATACACGCGAATACAAAGAGTGTATAGGAAGGAGAGTTGTATTAGAGAGGGTAGAAGAAGAAGCGCGTATTTGTGTTAACGAGTTCTTTGTTTGTTGATTTTCTTTGAATGATGCCCTTCTAGAGGAAAGAGCTACTTTCGGTTCCTTCCTAATTTATTCTGGGAAATCTATCCACGGATTTCGACTTTCCTTTGTTTACGGTCATGGGTTCAAACCCCGTATGTCTCCTTTGTTCCATTTTTGCCCTTCTTTGGTTACACATGTGCCCTTTCATGCCTGTATACAATGATCTCGGGTCGAGATCAGATTTGGTTGGGGAGGATAAGATCTCGGGAGCATTTTCTGCCTTAGGCTCCCTTTCAGTGGGCCTGACCCACTGTCCCCTTCCGGCCACTTCTGGTCACGTGAGGTCGCGGTCGGCCGCGCATGTGTATATAGTCTCTCCTTTTCTCCATACTTAGAAGGGCATGCCCCATCTACCCTTAGGATCACAGGTGCAGTGAGGGTGGTAGGTCCAAATTCTGCCTATACATAAGGCCTCTACACCGCCATGCAGTGACCCTCACTGCACCAGGTCCCTTGGGTTAGGAACTTACCATGGTTGCTGGAGGGGTTTTAAAAGGAACCTACATTGTAGATAGCTGTTTTCTTCTCCTTTCTCTCTTCAGTCTTAATACCTTCATCAAATGGTACAGTTTAATTCAGAATCTTTCTCTTGACCTGTAACAATAACGACGGCGAGAGAGTGATTGAAGACACATACTACGCTCTCTATGGTTTATTTCGTATCATTCTGACTACCTCACTCGCCGGGAGGAATTCTTTATGGTTCATCTTAGTCCTGCCCCTGGACCGACAGTGTGAGACACGGTTGTGGTGTAATCGTTCTAGAGTTCTATAGGCTTTCTCTTAGCTTGATGATTGTTCCTGAACTGGATCTTGATTCTTGACACTCGTGGGGTCTCCTACCCGCTGCGGTTGGCGGTCGAGGATTTTGATAGGGCGGGCGGCTTGCGGACACGCACGGCCGGGGCCGGGAGCACGCGAGATCCGACCAATTCGGCGGCGAAGAAATGCAACGGGGTCGACTTCATTTAGGCCTAGGGTATAGGGCGCTGTTGCGGTATCGGTGTCCTTCCTACTGCCCCGGTGCTTTTCTTCTACCCTACCTATGTCTCTTGAGTTTCTCTTATTCGCTTGGTCTTGCATGGGCTGCTTATACCTAAGAGACACTCACTCCGCATTGTGATTTTTAAATGAGGGACGGCTGATGGCGCAGCAAGAATTTCGGTCCATCAGACTAAACACACTCAGAAATCGCTGCCGTGCCACGTCGACATCGTCGACATCTCCCTTGCAAAGCTAACATCGGTACGTGCTGTCCGCAATTCCCACAGTTGCCAAGCAATGGTGCTTCGATATATAAGTTGAGAAGATCTTTGATAAATTCGGGCACGCTTTGGGCAACACTATTGTAGGCTATCTGAGCAGCTTCGTCCCGTAGATAATTCGAAATATTGATCCTCGCAAAGCGTGCTGCAGCCTCTTTCAAAGTTCTGGTTGATGTCGGAGGTAAAGCGTATACTTCCGGAATGGATTCAATGAATTCGATGGGATCGCACAGGGACTGAAGCCTCCTCTGGTACTTCTCAACACATAACGCGAGTAAGCTGTTGACGACGTATTTATCAGCCAAGACAAAAACTCGAGCATGGAGTTGAAGAGCAGAGCATGACAATAGCGGCCCCGTCTCGGAGGCCTGTACTCTGTCGCTATAGTTTTCCGTGTAAAAGAAGCTGACCAGCTTTCCAACAATAATTTTTGAGTCATCCAAAAACTCATAGACGCCTGATGACGCCTCCTAGACGAATCAGAGCTCATCATTAGTAGTACTATGGCAAGGTACTGACCTTGAAGTTGCTAGTACAGGCGGCATGAAGCACATCTGATTGAGAGCAAACGACAACTTTATGTACGTTGATTCTTTCTCCCTCGCAGACAAGGGCCAGATCTGTGAATTCGCCAGATTTTTGACACCTAATAATCTGTAAGCCTAGACACACTAACGCCTCTTAGCTGATAGTGGAATTTGCACACGAACCGTGAAAGAGCTTCCAAGACACCCTGGGACTGTACAGAGATTTCTTCCTCCATTCTGAGGAATTCTCTTTCCATCTAAAATTATCAAAGTGGCCTTTAACGCAAGGGTTTTATGGATTGTAATACTGTCGTCGCCGTCACCAGCGACGGGGAATATCTATAATCCCGATACCGAAACTCGTGACTATGATGTCGGTTGGACGGTTTCGCCGGGCTCCGAGCTTAATGTGGGGGAGAATCAGGCATCCCCGCAGAAAAATATCAAGGCCAATGAGATAATCACTCGCTCCAAAACCACATTCTTTACACGATATAGAGGCCTTCCCGAATCGCCACAGATCGCCCGACGAATAGCAAGACCCCGTACGCTCGGAGCCTTTCATGAAGGGCCCATAACAGTCCCAAAGCAAATAGATGAGACTCCAACTGCACGAGTTTCGTAACTATATTCTGAAGATCTCGGACTGTAATCGACCAAGGTTCGAGAGTATTCGTGACCGCCGAAGAGAAACCGCCCTACGTGCACCTTGACGCCAGCAACACCGCGCCTATAAGACGGGTTGCCTTCGATTTAGGTATGGCTGAGGTAGGGGAGTATAGGCCTACCACACTCGTGGATATAGCTGTAGACCTGGCCCTCACCCGCGGGTGACCCTCCAGACCCTCCACCCGACCCGCCCCAGAGGGTAAGCGATCGAGTTATCGACCCTGAGGGTCGTATACCTAGAGTGTTGAATATCCCGGTCACTGATGTAGTCACGGGGACGGAAGCACGTGCATGTATATATGTCTACCTGGCTACCAGCCTCTTTGTACTTAGAACAACACAATCAACTCCCATCAACTATGCAAAGATTGAAGCGTCACTTATAACTCAACAGTGATGTTGGACCCTGACCCTCTGAGGGGCGGGTGGAGGGTCCAGACCTTGGACCCGCGGGGCGGGCGAGTGCCAGGTCTATATAGCTGCAGACGGCGATGTCATTCTAGTGGTTGGGCCAGAGAAAATCAGATTGCGTGTCCACTCACTGAACCTCAAAGCAACCTCAAACCCATTTTCTGCCATGCTTGGCCCGATCTGGAAGGAAGGCCATGATCTACTTCAAGATGGGTCCGTGGAGTTACCATTACCAGAGGACAGTGCTAAGGCGATGGAGTATATGTGCTATTATACATCTTCAAAACAAGATTTTGCCTCTTACGATGACTCCCTATGACGTCCTTGAGGCTGCTGTCGTGGCAGACAAATACGATCTTGTTGATGCCTTGAGATTTGCAAGCGAATCATGGCTACACACTCGCAACGCAAAAGCTAACGAGCTCATGGTCCTCACTGCTGCAGCATATGCGTTCCAGAACGCACAAGCTTTCAGAGATCTTACTAGAGCGTTAATACTTGATTACGAGGATTGTTACTTCTCTCTTACAACAGAAAGGATCGAGTCTGTTATGAATTGGAGAGTATTTTGTGAGAAACCTTCGTTTGATTCTAATGGATCGTGTTACGGATGACTGACGGGTCGAATTAGGTCTTCTAGAAGAACAAAGAAATTTGGCAAGGCTTGAACTCGGGGATGTGCTCATCGGCGGGATTACAAGTGGGGGAGTGTGTGCCCATAAATGCGGATGGACAAGCAAATACGCATGTGCCTATTTAGAATCGCTCCGCGACCACCACCTTTGGCCAACAGGGTTAATCAACATTTCCGGGGCAATAAAGCGAGCAGGAAGCATTCCAGATCCTATCCCTAATGAAAGGAGTACTTCTTGCACGTATGAATACAAACATATGGTACCAGAATACAGAGAGGGCCGTCAGCGGGCGATAGACTACCTACGGGAGCATGTTGGGCTCTGTCTACATTGCGCACGAAAGGGTAATCCGACTTCAGCCTACTGCAAAATATCGCTTTAACAGAACAATCGATCCCTGCCACGGTTATGAACGTGGATCCTTAGCAAGATCTGTGGTCCCACGGGGTTTAGTAAAGAGAAATGACAGAGAGTTACATTATATATACAAGATGAAGTCCAAATTGATTGGAAATCAATTTGCTTCTTCGTATAGACAGTGCAGGAATTATTTCCGAGCTTGGGGCAATGTTCCTGATGCGCTCTTGCCTTGTATCACAACAGTACTTTAATCTTAATTGGCCGATCGTTCAAAAGATGGTGGCAAAGCGGGGTTCTCTCTCTATGGCCCCACTAACATCAGGATAGACCTCAAACGCTGCCCCCCACCACGCAAGTTACAACGTCGCGCTATTGTGAAAGAAACGGTGCCTGGGGATTTCAAACAACCACCACAGATCCTAGGTTAATGTACGCATGACGTCCCTTACTCTCATCTGGAGTACGAACATGGGTTTGGTATCAGCATACTGCCGATCGCGCTGGCACGGAGGCGTCCCGGCGGATGCCCCTCAGACCGTAAGTGAGGCATTTGATCGCATCGACGAGATTTACAATTCCGGAAAACCTTTCTACACTAAAGATTCTATCCGTGCCGCCTATGACCAGTTTCAGCGCTCCACTAACCCTGGGGATAAGATCCTTGTCAAGGATGTGGCGGGCACTCTAATAGAATACACTCTCAGAACAGGGGAAACCTTCATCTGGAGGCTGAGCTCTGAGAAGGAAGAGGAAGAATGGCTCATGTCTGTCCCAAGAACTTGCTCCCCCTGTAGATCTTGAAGCTAATACTTAGCAGCCAACAGCCGATCCTGCACTACCACGGCAGTGGTCATCTCAAGGAAACTCTCTGGATGATGTACCAAGACGCTCACTACGAGCCCGAAAAAACAAGCCCTTTCCGCAGCCTGCAAGTTTATCATAAATCTGAGAAGCTCGTCTCTGGTACAGAAGAGCTATTTCAAGACCCAACTCTTCCGAGCTATGATGACCTCAACTTGATCTTCAAAGAACAGATCCAAGTTTGGCAGGAAAGTGAAATGTGTGAGAGAGTTATCCAGATCCTGAACTCCTCCGCTGCAGAGCTGAATATCAAAAAGATTGTGGCCGTAGCTCTAGGAGGGATTTCCAGAGACGTTGGTCATCGCTCTGCCTTCCAGCATGCACTTGTCGTGTCTTTACGCGAATGGTTTGATGATCAGCAGCAGTCAGTCTGCTGCTACGCCCAAGATCCAGAGTATAAAGCCGTGGATAAGGCTGTCCTTAAGGCGCACGGTGTTATTGTCATCGATGATCCCCCGTGCTTGGCTTGAAGTGGACGAGCGATCCATCCTTTTTTCGTGTGCACCAAATGTACCCGTCAAGGAGATTGTGGCAGAAATCACGCGGCCAGCGGTTATAGTATGGGAGCGGGTCGACAGTAGGGATTATGATGCTGAGGAGGAAGGAAAAGTGTAAGAAACTCAAATCCGAGGCTATGACACGACCTGTTAAAGAACATCTAGTACCGATCCATGTACACCTCGGGTAAGAACTATGCTCGAGGGATATGAGGTATTCGAATTCGGGGCTGACGATCATTTTTCCTCGACGGTCATCTATATCCGGCGTTGTAAGGGTTGAGGAAGCAGCCTTGTGCTGTCTACCACTGCTTGGATCCGGATTCCCGGATTGGTAATACTAGCATACGGGTCGTTAAACAGGGCAAACACAGCGAACCCATGACTTGCTTTAGGGTGCATAAATTGTGGAGTGCGGTTAACAAGATCCTTAAAATACACACCGCTAGCACCTTCCAGGAAGTGATTATTTAGCGCGTACTTGATCAACCAGCGATGGTCAGACAGGAGTTTAGTTCTTCAATCAACCTGTCCAATTTGTTCCCTCAGTACTAGCATATACGGAAATCCTGCGACCCGATATGCAGTATTCGGCAATATTTTTGGGTATTCAGAGTACAGCTTGTCGACGCGCTGAGCGAGCGAGAATGGTTTAGGGGATAACGCGATTCACATGGCCAAGAGTATGAGACCGGCGAGGAGGAGGAAAAGAAGGCAGATGATAGGGTGGGAGAGGCGTCGCTAGGTGCCTTTTCGATCGCATGCTGTTAAACCATCAAAGGATTGATGATAACAAGGTCCACCTCACCAGGATGCGGTTGTCCTTGACCCACGCGTCGCGTGTGGTGATACCGGGAGAGCCGGTGGTAACAACTGGATATGGCCCCACAGCACCCAGGGGACCAATAGGTGTGCAGAGAAATTGGAGGCAGGCCTGCCTCCTTTTAAGGCATTATGGATCAGGCTCCCGACTGTCAATCGTTGCAATTTCCGCAATGCCTCCGGTGGCCGCGTGGAATCGACTCGCGTTCTCTGGCGGTTGAAACGCTGTTCTGGCTCGGTTCCTCTCGTCACACGGAGTCAGAACGGTAAAGACGTTGGAGTCGTACATTTCCAAGCAGCTCTCAGGATATCGAATATAGTTAGACGGGAAGTGAGCTGGAAGTCGTGACTACCCCAGAAATAGTGAAATAACATATCGTATGTCTCGTTCGTAGGGATTCGGGGGGAGTGCCTGGGTAGTATTCTATTTCAGTCTCCAGCTCAATGCCCGTGAAAATCTAGGGAAAGATTCATCGGTTGTCCCTTGTGGAGTGCTGTTCCAAGTCGGCGCTTATTTGTTCTGGGCGGCTACCTCAGTCGTGGCGTGCCCTTGTGCTGCTGATAGGATACCCGGAGAAGGGAGATACTATAGATCTGCCCAGATTAGTCATGTATTTAGCCCATCCAAATTGCCAGCTAGGGGCCTGTTAGCAATTCAGAGCTATTGTAATTCGTATTGGTGCACCTACATGGCTTATTCATCTCGGTTCCGACACTGGTGACGCGCGCTCCGCACGCTGTGGCCCTGAAACGATGATAGCGGGGACGAAAAAGGCAAAGGAAAAATGAAGGTTGTTTTGGTTCACTGACAGTGGATAATGTAATTGATTGTTGACCAATAAGAAGGCAGACAGTATGACTAATAGCCGAAACGTCTCAACTTAGAAAACAGCCGACATAATATACAAGGATAAACCCTGTAGAGCACGCGAGCAGGCAGGAGGGAGGAGAGCGAAGACGAATTGAGATAACCGAACACGAGAAGAAAGGAACGTGACCTGGGATCCAACCAAGCTCCAATGAGAGAGAGGCTTGGCGGAGAGGAGGGTGTGTGTTTCTCGCTGTGTTTTTGCTGTGTCAACGTCGGCGTCGCGCATCCGTGGGGTTAGTAACCCCTTCCACTCCGTTCCTCCGTTTCAGGGCAAGATGAGCAAGTACATCACCATTTGACGATAGGAACAAATATGGCCGAATAGGGAAGATAAGAGATAGCGTTTCTTATCGGGGGATATAACAAGCACCATCCCACTAGATAGTTTTCTCTTCCTTTCCCCTCCCTAGTCTTGATACCTTCATTTAATGCACAGGGTTTCCACTGTTTCCTCTTGGCTTGTGACAATGGATCGGTCTTCTGTTGTCTTATGTAGATGCTTTGTGACCCCAGATAACGGCGCTGAAATCTCGTGTGTTAGTGTCGGTGCTGCCTTTGCCAGTGTCTCCACTACCTAGGATGTTCATCGTCCGCCCAATTCCCCTAGTACGCGTATGGTATTCGGGTTAGACGCGGAGTATGGTCCCGTAACACCCCACAACTGGATGATACCTAGGTTGTTGGTTCGGCCAAGCTGACCCGCATAAAGCGGTCACCAAGCACAGCCACGATTATCCTCAAAGGTCCCGACCAAGAAAATACTTAAGGATCACAACGAACACACTCGGTAACCAAGTTCCCTTTTTGATCATGCAGCAACAGGCTTTCTACGAGAATAATATTCCCATCGCCATATCTCAGCTTCGAACGACAACCAAATTCCTACCCTGCATCAGTACTTTGACGGTGGCCAATGTCGCGTATTCAAGGTAACTTTCACGGACGGCGAGAGCTGGGCGATAAGAGTGCCTCTTTTTGTCCGCGATGCTTCCCAGAATATTCTTATACAGCTTCTTGAGTCCGAAGCTCGAATTCTCCGGGAGCTTGAATGGAAAGGATTCTCATGGGCCGCAAGGCTTAGGGGCTGCAGTCTCACGTTCGACAATGCGATTAGATATCCCTTCATTGCATTGACATGGGTTCCAGGCAGTCCGCTTTCATGGTCGGATGAGTTCCCGACGCAACCTCTTCGGAATAAAATCTTGAGTCAAGTTGCGATGATGCACACGTCACTGATTGACTGTAGCAAGGAGACTCGTATGTCGAATACCTTATTTGTTCAAACTGAACATTGCTTACAAGTCCAGGGGGTTCTTCTGTAAAGCATTTCACCCGAATAATTCAAAACAAGACCCGGCGAGTTCGCGAGGGTCTTCTTCCAGAAATTACAGAGCAGGGCTGCTCTGAGCAGATGATGATTCTCTCCGATGTTCTTTTGCCTGAGCTTGATAAAGCACCCTTTGCTCTTGCCCACGGTGATATATCACCACAAAACATTCTCATAGATACACATCACAATGTCACAGGGTAAGTGGGGATTTTCACGGGTCGACTCCAACGTACTTACTTTTGAAGCATAATCGACTGGGGGTTTTCATCAAGGGTACCTTTCCAACAGGCAGCCTGTTTCCCCCGCTTCCTCCAACTCCAGAACATCAACATGTCGCCATGCTCTACTCTCCTGAAAGACCGGGAGGCATACATCACCTTCATTCGATGCCATACAGCTCTGGCATTATGTTCGATGATGATCCAAGTGCTTTCATCGGAAAACGTTGACTTCCAACACTGCTTTCTGGAGTCGGTTATTAGCAAAGGAATGCATCGCCGACTGGCACGTAACGGATGGAGGCTTTCATCTTATGGACGGGACAGCGACGGAGAATATGACAACCGCAATAAGAATGGGATACTACTTTCTCATTCTAGTAAAGAGCGTATTTTCATGTTTTGCATTGTTGGCATGATGATTGTAGCTCTTTCCATTCGGGAACGCCCTACATGAGTCATATTTTCAGCTTCAAGCTCAAGGACACATATTTTTCTGTCTACAGATAGTTCCGTCAATCTGAACATCCGATCTCTCAAGGATATTGAATGGCAGTCGTCAAGCTCTCACGAACAAAGTAGATATTTGTGTCTCCTATCAAAATTTAGCATATCATCCTGTCGAGATATGGAGCGTAACTTACCACCTATACAGGGGTTATACCAAGTGACCCGCTTTCCCTTATGTTTTGTATTGTAATTCAGTATTATGGGCATTACGGTTGTCGTAACACCGTGTACCTTAGCCACCTATGGGGTATTTCAACCTGCCCCATGATATTTGTTCTTTCTTCAATCGATCAACCTTTGCATTCAAGATTGGATCCGCTTGGTCCTATCCACGATCTCATTCGCCTACCAGGATTACTAGCCATTACCGCCCCAGCTTGCTCCGACAGAATATAATTGTCGGATGTTTACTGCCCCGTCGCTGTATATAGTATGTCACGTGACTATTCTGCGCTTTCGTCCGAGTTTCTATTGGCTGAAATAGTATCCGCTCTCTCTATCCGCTCTCTCCTGCCGCCATTTTGGAGGGCTACCAAAAGATAGTTGAATTTTGGAAGCAGACCACTGTTATGATTCTAATAATACCAAATTTATTGCATAAGGAGCGTCGTGGCGCTGGCATTTCGAGTCTCGGCTTTCCCACCACGTGACCTTCGTCCAGGGTTTTCGTTCGAGTTTCTATTGGCTGAGAATATTTCACCGTTCCTGCCACCAATTCTCCATAATATGTAAAAATGAAACCGGCTTTAGAATCCGGCAAATGCAAGCTTTCTATTGATACTAGAATGGTCTCCACCTGGGCCTTGTGGTGTGGTGGTCACCTGTCACGATTTGCATACTGGGTGGGCTGCTGGCTGCTATACAGCGTTAATCTATGAGTAGTTAGCAATTACACTAACGAGTTATACTCCCGTAACGGAGATGGTCTATTAGCGCGATCTTGCGACTTGAACTTGCGCGATTGTTTCGACTCTGCCCTACAGAGCTATTATTCCATTACGTGGCTGCCGAAGTCTAGGTCTGTCCTCACTCCCGAGCCCTCCGTCGAGCTTCCTCCGACTGTAGGTGCTCTTGCAGCCGTTTCTCCTTAAGGGTACGCTTGCGGTTTCCTTTTCAAGTTCATTGGCATGGCTGCCATCGTCTCCCAGGATTTGCGTTTCCGGCTGATGTCGATCCCCTCCCTTTCCATCGAAACACCACAACAAACACAGCTGTATTTCCTATAACCTGCTAAATTGACATTGAACTGCTAAAGTCCAGCTCTACTCTTTTTCCGCTAATGGGGTCCTCGAAAGTGCTACCCATGGCCGGCTTTAGCCCGTTCAGCGTCAATCTTACCTCTCGGAAAAGGTCAGCTCCAAATGACGGATACTTTTGAGTTTCTTTAGTGAACTTGTGCTCATCGCTTTGAAAGTACCCTCTGACCGAGGCTGCAGCCAGAGTTCACCGTACTGGATGTTCATGAGGCAAGAAGGTTGCTGAGATAATATGAACAGGCGTAAGCCAATAAGTATTAGTGTCGACATGTTGCCAGAAGTCATTCGTCTGGGGATGGGGATTGGCGACAAGTATGCGTTTGATGTATTGGGCCATCTCGGTTTCCAATCCAATGATATTGTACTTGTCCGCAAGTCTCACAAGCTCCATCGCAGCCGAAATATGCTCCCCCGGATCCTCTACGTCGAACTTGACAACGCGAAGGTATAGCCATTGAAAAAGCGCTTCAAGGCTTCGCACCGAAATAACGTACTCCATTTCTTCCAAATCCGCGGTCAGCTGCTGAGACTCTAAAAATTCACCCTCAAACATTGCTGAGAATACAGCCGACTCAGCGCAGAGAAGACTTTTGGAAATTTTATATTCGTTATTGCTAGGCTTGATTCGAATTTTGACATAGGGACCGTGGTAGAGGGGAAGGATACTGGGAGATTCAGAATTAGCCACAATCTTTCCAGATACACGTATGATCTGTACATACTTTGTGACGAAATGTTGAGCACTGGCTTTAGATGCCTCTGTCATCGTCTTGTGCAAAAACCGAATTTCGAAAGGTCAAATGCAATGGATATCGTGTACGATACTGGAGCGACCTGGGACAAGGCGATAAGTGAAAGGCGAATTGTGCTTTGTCGTTTTCCCGGAGGGGTAGGGCGCAAGGTTTTGTTGTTTGGTTGAGCATAGAGGGGTCAGTTGAAACCCGCTAAAGTAAATTTGATTTGGCCCATGTCGTTTCTTGGGCCCCTTCAATGACGGAGCGGTCGTGGCACTACGCCCCGCATCTGAAGGGGGCGATCTGAAGGGGGCGATGAGGCTGCGAGCGACGAACACCTCAAGCAGAGATCCAAGCCTTTGGGCGCTACAGGACGATAGGCGAATGAAGTCTCCTACGAGAAGGAACTCTTCAGGCCAAGTTCTTTGACTACGCTCGTCCATGGATTGGCATATCTTTAGTCTGTCGCTCGACTCATTTCTATACTGCGAGGAGTCGTTTCCGAGCAGAAACGGATGGATCCACAGCTATTGTGCATTTGGCTGGATTTAGCTGGCGTATCTTACCATGGGTCAGCCAATCTCCTGTAAAGTGAGAACGGGGCAAACAATAGCTCTGATACGGGTAGAAGTACGATGCAGCTACACAGCTGCACAGTGTACCTGGTCATGGTGTACAATGCCTGTGATGTGTCCTAAGCTAATTAGGTGCTTCACTAATCCTTATATTACCAAGAGTCTGTTTATGCGGTGTTACGCTATTACACCCAGTCATAATCCGTCACCGCTCAAATAGATGCCGCCATTCGTAGAGGCATTGCGGTGTTGTCGTATACCTGAAGCAGGGATTTGCGGCCAACCGCCGTCAGGGATTAGACAAGCCTTCCTTGGCCTTAGTTGCTAAGATAATAATTCTTATTATCGACCGGCCTGCGTCACTAAGGATCCTACCCTTAGGGGTTGTCTTTATCAAGTATACCTTCCCGTCTCCGTATCTGCCCTTGAACAATTACGAGAGCATCCAATATATTGCGTGTCCAGCGGAAATGGCTTCTATAGCCGGTTCATTCCTCAGTTCCAAGTATATTAGCTTATTTCATTCTCCATCTCCTATAGTATCTAGGACTAATGCGACACCAGGTATTCAGGGATTGCCTAGTCCAGATCATCGCTAGGCCTAACAAGGCAATATACTATGCTCATCCTAGCGCTATATTATTATGTGGATCATCAGTACTGAGTGCACGTATGGATAGGAGATAGATAACACAAGGAGACGGCGATCCGATTAACTAGACAGAGTTTGATGAGTAGACTGTCGAATGCGTTTTGAGCTACTTTTACAACAAAGACTATGTGGTACATAGCGCAACTCACGTTGTAGAGGCTGCGAAAAACACAGAAATTGACGAATTAGGTACGCACAATTTGAATAGCGTCACAAATTGTCCAAGGGTGAAAATGTTTTTAGACCCAAGACCTACGGCTTCTACTATAGTAGAGTCACATATATCTGGCCCCGAAACTCTCGAAGTAACATTCCAAGAACGGCTATTGACCCCCCTAAGCCGGTGCATTACAGTTGGTTTACCTGCTAATACTAAGTAGACAGCTGCGGGTATTTTTGCCCGAGCATCCTATCATGACTGCGAGAAGCATCTTGGCAATACGGCTCTGATGCACGCCAAGGTCTACTGTTTTGCGCACCGGTTTCTGATTCCAGGACTTAAAGATCTGGCTTTGTAGCGACTGACCCAAGTCCTTCTTGCGTGCGACACCCCAAACCAGTCCTTTCTCTCACCTCTCTCTAATGCGATACGCCTAGTGTACGGTTCAACGCCCAATGAAACACAAGTGGTTGATCCAGCACGTTAATTATTGTCTTAGTACATTGCGCTGAAATACACTACACTCTCAGACGAGAGCCTTATCATACTTATGTTAGAGGGAGGTGACTTCATGATCGATGTCTCGCGCAAATTAGCCCGACGGATTTCTATATCCGGGAATTCCGCTCAATCGTTAGAAGAGCAAGTTGATGAGCTCCAGCTCAAAATCGACATATTAGAGTTAGAAGGTATAAGACAACTGGAGTTGCTGAATCGGGCAAACGCGGAAATAGGCGAGTGGGAGAGCTAGAACCGGGTAATATCCGGAAAGTACAAGAAGGCGAGGAGGCATATACCGCCGCGCCGACATGACGCCGCTCACGAACCCTTAGTTGAGGATGGACTATAAGGTGGTCAGGATAAGACTGACTGGAGTTGGAGACCAATTTCCACATAGTGTAAACACTTGGTTGCCGTTGTTACTACTGCTGATCATAAAGATAAAAAAATCAGACTCGTGTCCACACCGTATCGCTCCGCGTAGCCGTTTTAGTCTAGTTAGTAAGGCGGTATAGTCTCTAGATTGATTCTAGAAGATTAATCGAAGAATTCGGAGAGGGTTCTTTCGTTATCGGTATATACTATAAGAACGCGTAGACCGAATTGATTTTAGATAAAATCGATCTGATTCGACAGAGATTAAGATGATTCGGTCTTAGAAGAAAGATCTTCCGCAATTTAATATTTCGTGATAGGATCGACTAAATATAATAGATAGGAGGTTTTAGCTAATAATAGCTCGAAGTGAATAAGATCCTAGTACAGCGATTTGAACAGGCGATTATACTATATAGGTAATCGAGAGATTTAACGCGGTGAATTAGCTAGTTTACATATTTCACAATAGCTAATTGGCGAAGATATATCTTTAATCGTGATGCTAGATACGTGGTTAGGTAGGCGAGATAGTATATCTTTGCTAATATAGCCTAGTCGTCGATACTACTGATTAATCGTCCCTTCTAGCTGTTTCTTAGTATATAATATCAGGGCAATCTTGCTAATCTGATTAGTAAGAGGGATTCGGGCTCATAACCTGTGAGCAAGCGATGCTGCGCAGGTTAGGTAGAGAGGAAGTAAGATTTAATTGATCTTCTTCCTCTTGATTGAATAGGAAGGATAAAATCAATTCGGCTTAGAATCATAAAGATAAAATAAGACAAAGTAAGGTAGGACTGAAGCTTGGTTGATTGTATTGAATCTTTCTTGTATGTATTAAACATGATTGTTATCTTGGTAGAGAAAGCAGGGCATATTTATAATCAACTTGTCTCTTGCATGTGATCATTCTAGATGATGCATGATGATCTCATGCAGTAGCTATTTGATCGGTGGTTGCTTGATTGTACGATGTCATTGACTGTAGTGATGATGTAGATCGTGTCATTGACCGTAGTGATGATGTAGATCGTATACTATGATACGTCTGTTTATGCCTGATTATCCGATTGGATAATAATGATATAATGGCATAAAGCTTATTGAGATTCAGCCATCTTGTATAGGCCTTATGAATCTGGCTTGATATGCTGTATGATATATCTCACATCCTATCTAATCAGATAAATACCTGATTTCGTATCTAATCGGCAGATAGACGTTCCGTCCTTCTCTTCTAGTAGGCAATCTCTTTAGTTAAAATAGATTCCTGCACTAGTAGCGCGTTCTACAGAGATTAGGTTAATATAGAATCTAGGGCAGTAAGTAACTTGCTTCAAGGGAAAAGTGGTTCTATTAAGAGATTTAGTTAGCATAATTATAAGGTCGCCGTAGCCGAGGATAGTGGTTTCGGTGTTTCTAACCATAACTAAGGACACAACGGACTTATAGTTTTATAGTAGAGATCTGTTATTCGTGACATAAATTAAGGCTCCGGTATTATAATACTAGGTATTACTTCGCTTAGCAGAGATCCTGATTATGCTTATAGCTATCCTATCTTCTTCTCGAAAGAGGTTATCGGCTTCCTTCTTCGGAATAAAGGCTGAAAAGGCGTCTCGCTTTCTAGCTTGATCTGATTAGCTAGAATCGCTAATATCTAGCTGATCTAATTCGTCTAGTTAGTGTTCTCTAATAGCTTTTTCGTATTATCGCTTAAACGGAGGTAAAGATTCGCATTAGAACTAGAAGCTCTTCTTAGCTCTCTAGTCAGGCGACTAGCCCTTTAGTCTGACTAGTAGATTAATATATAGGTACTTATCAAAATCGTGGTAGCCGTTACTAGGAGGTCCTTTACAAGGGTAAATCCCCCTTCGGCTAGATTTAATTAGTCGATCTTTGTTAGGTTTTCGTCCCTAATAGGTTAGATAAGTAGATTCGTCATCAGGTTCTGGTCCCTGATAGGTTAGATAAGCAATTAGTCGTCTGCTAGGCAAGACGATTAGTCGGTATTAGTTAATAAACTAATTAACTAGTTCGGTTAAGGTAGGTCTCTTTAGGCCTTAGAGGATCGTATTATACTAGAAGGTATAGAAGCCTTGATTACTAGATTAAATCGTTTCTAGGAAATCGTATACTAGAGATAGTGAGTCTTAGAAGTAGGCAATTCCGGCTTTCTTACTATGAGCAAGTGTAAACGTATAGGAAGGATAATTGTATAGCAAACCTATAGATAGAGCTATATAGTATAGCTAGATCGTATAGAGAGGTTGATAGATTGAATAGTAGTAGGTAGGCTGTCAAGAATAAATTCAGGACTTGGATTAAGAACTATCTGGCAGGGACTTTAGGTCCTATTTATATTTGATAGATCCCTGTTTTCGGTGGCAACTAGCGATATAGTGGTGATTTCATTATGATGATCTTGTTTTCCATAAGATTCTATGATATTATATAGACTATCATAGAATTCTTTATGATTCTATCTATATCCGATACTCCCCCCGTAATCTATATATAGCTAATATATAGATTAGTGGTAGATAGATAGATAGATAGCTAGATAGCTCTACTTAGCTATCTTAGTTGATTCATTAATATTCACTAGATTAGCTAGGTTGACTAGCTTTTTAAATGCTACTCTGTCAACGTTTTTAGTTAATAGATCAGCTAATTGGCTTTTGGTATTGATATAGGTTAATTTAACCTTTTCTTCTTAAATAGCCTCTCTTATATAGTGATATTGGATATCTATATGTTTTGATC